CACCATCATTTTCTCCAAACACTGAATAGTGGCGGAGATTTCACAGAAGGGGGGCTAAGTATCTCACAAGCTGGGATAGATTGGAAGTTTTATACACACTCTAACTTCAGTGTCACGTTCTAATGATTTTCAAACCAAGGAGCACCCAATTTTGATTTTCCTCATCCGCCCAAACCCATTTCCCTCATTGAAAAGAAGAAGAAATGACGCCATAAACACTGAAAGAGCATGAAATTGAGACTTACCAGATTGTGTGTTCCGATAAATACTTTGAATTGAAATGTACGTCAAACCTCCCTGCCGTCGAGACTTACGCTCTCTCGCTCGCTCCTTTGCATTTTGCTAGGGCTTGGGTCTTTGCTTTTGTCATTATTTCTGAGAGCTTCAAGTCTTCTTCTGCTCCTTTCAGTGTCAGTCCGCACTGGCTTGTTCACTCGCCCTAGACTGTTCAGCCTTGGTTCACTGGTTCATTTCAAGGTGTTTGCTCATTCATCTTCTTCCTGAGTCGTGCTGCATTCTTTCTTTCTTTCTTTTATTAATAATAATAATAATAATTTTTATTTCACAAGGGTAAAGAAGGAGTCTAGTCACAACCTTATTGGACTTATTTATCCACGTATGCGCAAAATCATCTGCCACCTCACCCAAAGCAAACGGTGTTATTACATCTGTTAGTCTTGCATTAGTAGTCTTAAACTACAAGGATGGATGCCACCAACAAAGTAAAATATAAGGATCTAATAAAAAGAAAAACAAATTGGGGGACCTGACTCAAAATTCAGGAAAACTGCAAGGATCAGCATATTAATTTTCCCTACAAAAATTTCAATTCATTTTTACCAATTTCATCGTGAAACTTAACGAAAGGACGTTTCCATTATTTTGCTTCAATTTCAAAATACCCATTTAGATTTTCCTTTCCCTTTGCGGCATTAGAAATTGTTAGCTTTTCTTATTAAAGTTTAGTATTTTTAGTTTTTTAGGGGGTCATTTTTCCATCTTTTAAAGAGAAAATTACTACCTTTGGTCCTTAATATAAGACTAATTAGGAGGCTGAATTTGATCATAATATAAAATCTCAATCTATTTTATTTCTCATTTTTTCTAAAATATCCTTATTAATTGTATGGAATTCCCACCAAGAAATAATTTTATTGATCTAACGCATATGATTAGTGAGAATAGTTTAGAAAGATCAATACACATTGGTGACATGTAACTAATTCAACTAATTTTCTTAATATTTTCAAATAAATTATCTAATTCTTATATTTAAAGATTAGAGGTAGTATGTTTTTAATAAAGCTATTTGAAATTAAATATCAAAATTATTTCAGCAAATTCCAAGTTAAAACTTAAGCTACGCAGAACTAAATTTTATTGTGCTAAATCAGAAAGTGGGACGACACTGCCCTTTTCTTTACGGCCCTAAATATCTACCTCTCCTGTCTCATTAAAAAGAGCACCCCGATAAAAAGTCAATTTATTTAAATAAAGTAAAATGATATTCTTCCGATTCTTAATATAAGATCTAATTCTTAAGTTGGTTTTGGTTCTAAATATAAAAATCATTTTTCATATTTATCAATTTTCTCTAAATTACCTCTATGGATACTCCCTCAACCATAATGAAGTATAAGAGAGAGAGGGGTATTAAAAAAGATAATTATAGTGTTTTAGGAAAAATGTGTCACTTTTCTTATAATTAATTAACTTACCTAATCTAAGCAAATTAGTTAAATTGGTTTTATATTAAAAACCGGATGAGTACAAATATATTAGGCTTTGCATCAATTCAAACTGAACAACGCCCAGAGTTCAAAGTTAAAGAAAGGAAAAAAAATATGTACATTTGTGGCAAAAAAAAAAAAAACTATGTATAATAAGAAGTCTGTAGAATATGTGCATATATATCTCCAACTCTTCAAGTTAAATTGTAAATAAAGACCATGAAAATTGTAAAATTTTAAATCAGAGATCGTGACAACACTTTAACAAGTTTGGACAAGAATTAATGTGTAAATGACAATAAATTTTTACAAGAGTTCCTGGTCTGGGACTTTGTAATTTCAATGGCCTTTTTTTTTTGCAATTTTTCCTATCTTCAAATTCTGCACTTAATTTATTAAAGAAATCAAATTCCTAATTATAAACTAAAATTAAAATAAATGAATGTAGATGGGTAAGAAGGCTCTATATACACCCACACACACCACATGATAAAGAGTTTGTTAGCATTAAAATTTGCAAAATTGAAATTTTCACAATAGTTTGCAAATTATCAATTAGTATAATATAATTTTATGTTTAGGTACTTTTTATTAAAAAGGTCCAGTTTCACAAATTGAAACTTGTATTTAATTGGATAACTTAAAAAAAATACTATAATTATAGTTATGAAAAGGAGTTTAGAGATGGGAGAAACATCTGCCCCAGGATGGTAAAACGACCACCATTTGTGGCCTTGACTGCAATCAAAAAGCTGCCCTTATTTCAATACGTTACTGAAAAATATTCATAAATAGTTAAAATATTATTTAGTTATTTATTATATATTATATGCCATTACAAGTATTTAATAGATTATATGTAAGTGACATAATGGCAGTAATTTTCTATATATATTAAAACAATAAAATTCTAAAATGAATTAAACCTGGCTAGTTGTAAGTGAAAAACCGAAAACTATAAGAAATAGCTTTTGCTAAAACTTAATACTCTTCCGGTCCTTAATATAAGTTATATTTAACTAATTTAATTAGATTAAGAAAGTTAGATAAGTTAATTAATTATAAAAAATATAACATTTTTTTAAAATATCATATTCATCTTGTTTAATATCTACTCTCTCTCTTCTACTTGATTATGGTTGGAAGAGTATCTATAGGGATAATTTAAAAAAAATTAATAAATATGATAAATAGGTCGTATATTTAGGATTAAAATTAAATCAATAATTAGATCTTATATTAAAGACCGGAGGAGTATTAAAGTTTGGAGTCATGACTTAGGTTTTGCGATTACAAATTGTTAAAAAAGGCGCAAGAAAGCACAATACTTATGTCGGCTAAAGCCCCCTCTCTTCTTATCATTCTCTGCCTCTAAATGCATGAATCTTCCTTTCATGAAAAGTTGGGTTGAGTTTTGCAATGATTTTATAGCAAAAGTAATTTTTTTAAAAAAAATCATATTCCCTCCTATCCTAATTATAAGACCTCATTTTACTTAGAATCAGAGATAATATAACATACATATTGCATGTAGAAGTTTAGTTAAGGAAAAGAGTTAGGTCAAATTCCTAATATATATTCTGCTAAGTTTTTTTAATTATACATGGTTACATGTCCTTTGTTGTTTTATATGAATTTATAATTAAATGTTAATATTTAAAAAAAATTAACCCAAAAAATATTAAAAAGTTGATATAAGTATGATCCTATTTAAAAAATATACATCTAATATTAATGACAAAAGTGCGATACGTGTTTTTTTGGCTCTATCCCCAAACTACTTTTGAGAATATTTATCATAAAGACAAGTTGATGAGTGAAATAATCAGAACCTAAATTCCCAGAGTTAAATAATTTTTTTTTTTTGCCGTCCTAATGCTAATGCAGTAATTAATTAAGGAATTGATTCAAAAGTTGAGCGGACTACTTGACTAGTCCAAGCCCCAGCCCACAACATTTGAATTGAAAATTTGAAGGTCAAAAATATGGAAAAAGGACTTCGTTTTTATGCTTGTTGGAATACTTAAAAATTGAAGCTCGTTCCAGTAGTCACTTCAATAACCTCAACAATTCCCGCAATAAGTTAGACCTAATTGAAAAGAGTTAGTGACAAGTCTATTTAAATTCTTATTAAAAGAGATGTTTATATCTAGTGTCTAACAATGACTGAAATAAAATTGCTTCTAATAAAACTATATGTATTACGAAAAAAATCAGTAATTTCTGTCTAATCAGTATTCTCAGATTGTAAATTGCAAATTTTATTTTTCAACACAGTACATTAAAAATATTTTTAATTACATTCAAATCAAACATCTACTAAAAGATGTATATTAAATGAATAATCACCACAATAAAATTAATATAATCATAGCATCATCATAAAAAATAAACACTAATTACGAAGAAATTTATTTTCGGCCTGCAAATCACGAATTATTTGCAAATGTTTTTTTCTCCAGCATCTAAAACCATCTAAAGCCAAACATTTTCAGAACTTTTAAATAATATAATTTTCATAGAATTGAAATATTCTTTTTAATTCTAAAATTATTAATGATGAGCTATGGGCACATTTTTAAATACAACTAATTTTTTTAAACCAATACTAAGTACTAACTGTTAAACCAAGACAACACCATAGTAATTTTAAACAATCATGTACAATATTACTATGCAATTTATCTTTTAATGAAAAGTCAATTTTATTCGAATAACAGCTAAAAAAGCATACATGACAAAATTTATTTTTAGATGTCATACAAAATTTCTTACACAACAAAATTACTATTTCACCTTTTTAAAATATTTTATTCTTTATATCCAGATGGACACAAACTATTAGTTTCAAGATCCCAATATGACTTCTAACATTTTTTTTTATTAAAGATCAAATTTCGTTAAAAGGTAAAAATGTTACGTGATTGTTCTATTATTATTAAATTTTAGTCTTAAATAATTGATTTTAATATAACTAACGTGGAATAATAAGCACATAAATGGCTTATCATTGTTCCTTCCTTTCCATTCTCGTACAGTTTGTATTTATTTTTAAATAAGATTGAATTTTAAAAAAATCAAATGAAAGAAGTTGGACTAAAAGCACGCGTAGGGACCACTTAAGAAAGAAAGAAGGTGCTGACAAATCAAATAATTGCAGGCACCGACACACACACACAAAGGCCTCAAAGGAACTTGCTTGCTCTTCCCTGCACATCAGTTCTCTCCCCCCCCCCCCCCCCCCCTCTCCCTGAGTAAATTTTTTTTTTTAAAAAAAAGGAAGAACCTTAACTAACCATAGTCTTGTCAAACTCCTCACCACAATTTGGCAACATGCATATTGCATACTTAGAGAATATACAAAAAAAAAAAAAAGGACCAAAAATAGAAGAAACCTATAGGCATCATGCTAACAAAACAAAACAGTAATCTTAACAATAATAATAATAATAATAATAAAAACTAACTCATCAGTCTGTAAACTAGAAACACCCTTCACAATCTATATAGATGCTCTGCTTGGTCTACCACTTTAGCTTGGTTTCCTTGTGAAGCAATTAACAGCAGGCCACTGAGCATGTAGCAGCAGGTTTTACTGCAACCATTATATTACCGCCGCCGCCACCATCACCATTGTTATCGCTACTCACACATTGCACATTAGCAGCTGCTGCAGCTTCAACACGCTCCCATGTTGTCCGCCGCCTCTCGGCTGTGGCACTCGATGTAGGCTCTTCCTCCTCCAACTTGCGTTGGCAGGCGGCAACCAGATCCTCGTCCATTTGCGACAGAGTCTTCCTCACATTCTGAGTCAGGTTCAGCACTGCTTGGTTCCAGTGGTTTTGGGCATTATGTACAAGAGCTGACAACACCATAGGCAGCAACACCTGCCGGTTTTGCGTGACGAAGTTAAGGATGTGCTCGTTGTTCCATAGCAGAAGGGCTCGCTCCGCTACCTGCACATACAAGAAGAAAGTTACCTGATTAGCACATTTTTTAATTACATTAGAAGGTTTAGTGTCCTCTGAAAAAGTGAAAAAGAACAAAGAAAGACTGAAGAGAATGCTCAATGAAGTTATTGAATGGGACTTTTTGGTTAACAACCTATCCAAGATTTAGTTGTTAATAAAATACAATGACGTTGTGCAATCCATATAGCCAGTCTCGCCTAATGGGATAAGGCTTGTTGTTTCTATTGATTGCATTAGCAAGGTTTGAATCCTAAATCTCCACCCGTATCTTGACCATCTATGCTAATCTCAGATGGTTGGCGTAATTGGCACTCTACAAAGAGACAATAGGACCAAACCCTGTCTAAGTAGAATTTACAACGCATGATCCCAAGATTAAACCAATGTCCATATACGTAATACAAAGAGCCTGTTTGGACTACTTTAATAGAAGTGATAAAAGAAGAAAAGGATCAAAATGGTTAAATAATGATTGCAAGAGCATAATAGGTGCAAAGAATGAAAGGAAACCAGATTAGCTTTTCCCTCTTAGAAAATATAACATGGGAGCATTTTTTATAAGTTAACCCCAAGCTATTGACTTGTTAACAGAAGTTTCTCCATTTATCTATTTTGGTAATTCACTAATTTATTGTGTCTTTGTCGAAGAATCTGAGAGCAGCTATTTAAAAACTAGAACTAGCTTCATTCTTTTCTTGAAATCTATGCAATGCATTTGACTCAACAGGCTCAAGAATTAACAATATGGAGAGGTAGAACAACAAAAACTGCTCCACACATCGACAGAAGGCTAATAAATTAATCTGAATCTGATTAGTTGAAACACAGAATAAAATAACATCAATGTTGACACGAGTTAGTCGATACAATTATGATGTATCAACTTCTAGCTTCTTACCAACCACCAGCCACGTAAATATTCTCTTCAGTTGGTAGAAAAAAAGATGCAATTGCAATAGGACAAAAATTCACAGAGAGAGATGCTGACTTTTATATGAAAACTACAAGCATTTTCTCATGCGTCACATGGTATCTTAAATAAGTCGCATCATTCATATCTATAGCTTACTATAAATTTTATATTTTATATTGATGCAGCTAAAGAAATTTGCGTAGAAGGTACCTGGTAATGAAAGCTATTTAGGCAATAACATATACGGCGAAATAGTGGGACCATGATCTTCTGAAATTCCAGCATGCTAGTCATTTCCAAAACCTCTTCCAACTCGCTCAAGAACATAAGCTCCTTTTGGCTATTTGTTATTGGCCAGTACTTCAACAGTCCCTTTATCACAGTGCTAGCCAGTTTTTGATCCTTCTCTATGAACTGTACAACACAATATGTTAGCTGCTGGTGATAGATACCCAACGATCTTGGTTTATGGAGAGGAATCAAAGCGCTAAACAAAAATGTCTTGTGCTCCTCTTTCAATGGCAAGGCAAACCCACTAATTACGCTCCCAAAAATCTCCAACAGCTCAGCAATGCCATTATGGCGTTCTGTCTCGTAAACAAAACGATAAATGATATTGCTAACAGATTTCCTTATAAAAGGCCTGTGTACCATGAATTTGCCATAGATCCTGTGCAGGATTGTCTTCAGACAATCTCTTTCTCTAGGGTCTTCAGAATCAAAGAGGTCAAGTAATCTTAAGATAAAAGCATGGTCAATGTACAGTTTTGCCAACTTCACATCAAGAGAGTTGTAGTTAACGAACTGGAGGAGTAGATCATAAACAATTTGCAGGTGAGACCAGGCTGGATCAAACATTGGTTCTTCATCTTCTGTTTCACCACCAGTCAAACTGGTTCGAATTTTGGGAGGGAAAACCCTGAACAAGTTACTTGCACACATTTTACACACAGCAGCGATTGCTGGTTCTGTAAACTTTGCAGACCCAGAAGAAACAAAGTCAACAAGATCAACCAATGTTTGGCGTTTATGATCTTGCTCTGCACAATTCTTATCTGGATCACTCATATCATAAACTTTGCAGCAAAGATTTAACTTACTAACGAACAGGTTTTGCTTCTGTGTATTTGAAACATCTTTGAAGGATAAATTGGGGTCAACTGCTTCTACTCCAGCATTCATGCTTGCTGGGAAAACCACTGAAGATACCCGCTTCACAACATTCAATTTGCTTGAAATGGTGCTCCCTACATTTGTACACTGAAAGACATTCCCAAAACTTGTAGAATTCCCAGAATCACCCCGGCCAGAATCAGATGAATCAGATTTTGGCACCTTCTTAGGCAATTTGCTAAGAATCTGCTTTATCATGGTGATAGAACCACAATCCTAACAGAAGCAAGACCTGCAGCCAACTTCACTTTAGCTACAAACATATGACCTACTTTTTTTAATGATTTCAAAGTTGACAATAAGATTGCAAATACTTATGTGATCATCCATCAGCACATCGACAATTATGGAAAGCAAGGCATGTTTGAGACTCTTAACACATGTAATTAACACCAATTATAGATTATAGCAGAGCACAGACCAGTGAGAATAGAAGAAAGAGGAGGAACAGAATGAATGCTAAAACCAAAATTATGACTACAGGTTTGTCAAGGTCAAGATGATTTTTCTGAACAGCGTGCTTAAGATCATTTGAAGAACTAAATAGATATACAGAGTAAGATGGCATTGGAATGTCAACTAACGAATGTAAAAAAGTAGCCAACCGATTCCAGCCAACTCTAACTCAAGTTTGTAAATTTGTCCAAAGAGATACTGAAGAATTCGGCACACGTATGGCACAGCATTTCCATCACTTTTCATCCACGAACAACAATTAAGTATATAGCTACACTAAGTTGTATCAGGGGACTGTAAAATGTCTTTCTCAGACCCAAATAAGCCAGATCAAGTTCATCTTCACAAATTCTGGAAACAAATATGGGGGTAAAGGAAACCCACAAAAAAAAAAAAGTCCAACCACTCGCAGCAACAGCATCAACAGTGTAGGGAAACACCGAGATCTGAAACTAAAATTAGCAGAAAATAGAGAGGAACCTCATCCTCTCGAGGAATCACAAAAGCACAACAATTACTAGAACAAAGACACCCACCTTATGATGAGAATTCGGTCAAAATCACTCCTAACTGTAAGAAACATCACTCAAATTAGCACATTGAAGAACCCGAACTCAGAAATTGGAAGAGAAAGGCCGAAACAGTACCAACCTGATTACTGAGGGAAAACCCCACTTGAGATGCAGACCCACACGCTTCTCTCCACAGAAATCAAGAAACAAGAAGATGGATATGTCAGTTCAGCAGAATCTTCTTCCTATCTTTCTTTAATTTTCTTTGGAGCGGTGAAGAGAGAAAATGTGGGGAGAAAAACTGGGTTTTGATCTGAAAATAACAAGCCAGCTTAAGGAATCTGTTTAAGTGGGCTAGCGCAAGAATGGTGACACCATCTGTGAAATTTCACGATCGATCATCGCCATGGATGAATGGTGGAAGAAGCGACAGAAGATGGGCTTTCCTCGATTCAAGAGAATAACAAGCGAAGCGACATGTTACTCTAAACTGCGGAAACAGCAGTCCCAGTCATGGATCCCGCTGTACCTTCTAAGGTAAAATAAAGCAAACTGATAATAGTATCTATATTTTGTTGCTCCTATATAGAATATCTGTGAAACTTTTTCAATTTTTTTCCTCTTGCTTTCTTTTTGTAATTACATGTTTAAGGGAAGTTTTCAGGCCGATCAAAGTTCTAGATTTTTGCGAAGATTCAAACTGTCCTTCTTTTTTGTTTTTTTTTTTTTTTGAAGATTTAAACTGTCTGTGTTTGACTGCTTGTGAAGAAGAAATGGAGGATTATTTCCAGAAGTGTTCATTTAATAAAGAGCATTGTGTTTTTTAATAAATAAATAGCTTTGTGTTTTTTTTGTTGTGAAAATTTGTTTTGAATTTTGGTCAGATATATACTACTCAATTCTTAATATAAGAGTTAGTTAACTAATTTATGTAAATTAAGAAAACTTGTTAAATTAATTATTTATAATAAATATGTGTTATTTTTTTCTAAAATATCCTTACTAATCATGTATATTAGTTAGAACTATTATTTAATATGTGTGATTATTACAAAAATTATTTTAAAATAAATAAATAAATATGAAAAAAATAGATTGAAATTTTGATATTTAGAATCAAATTAAAAATAAAAAGAAACTAGCATATATTCATATCAGTTAGCAACGTAATTGTATGGAATTTTCCTTTAAGTATCCATCTCTTGTACTCTTGATTTTGAATACCACATCTAGGAAATGAGGATACATTTTTTTCTCTTTCCCCCACTTAACATCCCCGTTAAAAAGAAGCCTCTTAATAGTTGCAAATAAAATAAAATAAAGCAAGTGGGATTTTATTTGGAAAAAAATTGAGATACATGATACATTACTTGTTATGAGTTACAGTGATTTTATTTTTAATACTATTTATGTTATAGTTTGTTATAAGTTTTTGGTTGAAGTACACAAATGCTCTTCAACTAATTTTGAAACATGGATAAAATTTACTACTTGCAATCCTAAGTATAGGAGTCACCCAAAATATATACTTTGATTCTAATTGCAAAATCTCAATATACTTTGTTTCTAAAATTTATAATTTTTTCATCAAATATTTATATTGATTGTACATTTGCATATAATAAGAGAGTTTCCATTAAGGAACAATTACAATGCACACAATTTTTTTTTTAAAAAAAAGTGTTATAGAAAACCAACATGTATTGTTTTGAATAATTAATTCAATTAATTTTTTTAAAGTTCACAAACTAATTATTTAACTCTTATATTAAGGATGAGATATAGTTATAACAAACTTACAAAAACTTTTAATTATGTATTAATAAACATAACCATCAATTATATAGCCCCTTAAATTATATTTTTGTATGTATATAATCTCGTCGAGCTTTGAGTGATATGCATATAGGTTTCCTAAATTTTAAATATACACACACACATATAAGTACTAAACAAAATTACTGGTAAGGGAGTTATATGTAATTTTGCTTAGATTTATAAATGTATTATTTTTTCCTGAATATTTATAAATGTATTATGAATGATAAAAATGGACAAAGATGTATAAATGCTGCAAGATCAGGGAAAAAAAAGCATTCGAGTTTGTTATTAAATTAGAGTCTGAATGGAGAATTAACAAATTTATCAAATTTATAAATTGTATGATTTTTATAATTGATCTTTTTCTCAAAAAAAAAAAAAGCTAAATGATTTTAAAGCCCAAAGCATACGTCCCCGGAAGATATTTTATTTATATAAATTTTTTTACTATGTCTTTTTATTCCGGATGCAAATCGAATCATATTATTACATTACACTCCAAAAAGAAAAGGGTAATGATTTCAATTTAGCCCCTTTTGATTAATAATATCTTTTCAATTTTTTTATTTCGCCCGCACCAAAAAGTTTATGCTCATAGATTGCCTTTGGATTATATTAATGAATGCGTTGGCAAAAAATAAAAAATTTAATAATGACTTCTGGATTGGGGTCCACTTCAGAGTTACTACGATTTTTGTTCTCATTTTGTTAATTTTAAAAACCCTAGATATATAATACAAGAATTCATTTTAATAATCAATTTTGGCAAAAAAAAATTCAACAATAAATTTAATTAAAATTTGAAATTATTTTTCAGGACAAAATAAAGAATAATTATCTAGAATTAATATTAAATTTATTTTTTTCATAGTTGAATTATTATTAAATTTCAATTGCCAAGTGCTGCCAGGGAAATGAAAACTAGGAAATTTAACGGTTCTTTTTGCAATTAAGTTTAATGATTAATAATTACATTTAAGTTATTTAAATATTGCCCTTAGATTTTTCATAAGTATGCCATTAAATTTAATTTTAATAATGAAAGAGTTTTTTTTTTGGGCCAACGACAGAGTGATACCCATTTAGATGGATAGCATTTCATTATAATTGCAATTGCAATAACCAGAACAAAATATTTTTGAAAAATATATCATCAATATGGCATATTATTGACAATTAATACCAATAAGATGTCATTCTTTAATTATTATAGATGTATGATAAATTATTTTTTGTCTACAAATATTTCATTATAAATCATTAAATAATAAAATTAAACTTAAAAGAAAAGAAGAGTTCATTTTGATACTACATTTACCTGTTAATGAATTAATCATCATATATTTACATATTTTAAATATGAAAAGGAAACTGAAAAGCCAATTCTTGTCTTTTCAGTTATTATTCGATTAACAGCAACATGCACTGATGCATAAAAAATATTTTTGCTTTGATTTTATATCAATTTAAAGAAAAATATTTAATAAAGAGTTTCTTAAGTACGTTTGTTGACATTGAAGGGAGTTGAATATAAACTTCTTTAAAAGAAAACAAAATATGCCATATTTGCCTAATGTGGATTAGGGATGTTATTTACAAATTCAATCATGTGATACAAGAAGCCTAATTATATACTTTTTTTGACTCAATAATTTTAACAGTTATGATAAGTTTATTATTCATATGATATCTAAGAAAATAATTACATTTATATTTGTTGATTGATTTTTTTTGCCTGAAAATATGTTATTTAATTGAGAGCAAATTTGTTAAAAAAAAATTGAGAACAAATAGGATGGAACGATATGAATAGTAAGTGAACAAAATGTCACCATCTAATGAAATAGAAGAATTAGATAATTATTTTTATTTTTTATTTTTATCTTTAAGTTCTTCGTTTTTAAAGTTCATAGTTTAAAAACTCTATTTTTAAAAAAATTATTATGTTTTAAAAAATAAGAAATTTTAGTATAGACACACAGAGGCACGCAAGCAAAATTTTTTGACCTTGAAACGAAAACAAAATTTAAATCATAGCAATGTTCACATGAAAATAAATAAGGAAAAACCATATTGGAGGTACTTATATTTCTTTTCAACTTTTAATTTGATACCTATGTATTTTTTTCTTAATTAAATTATTTAATTTTACTTTTTTAACAACATTAGCTTTTGTAATTTTGTTCTATTAGCATTTTTAGTCTCTATGCATGGGTTAATAATGCTAATAGAACAAAATTAAATATTTAATTAAGAAAAAACACATAAGTACTGAATTGAAAATTGAAAAAAAAAAAAGTATAGGTACGTCAAATTTGGCTTTCCTTATATATATATATATATATATATATATATATAAATTTTGCAGGATGCAGTGAAAGAGAAAGAGATAGTATAAGAGAATATAACTGTATAAAATAAATAAGAAAAAACTATATTAGAGGTACTTATACTTCTTTTCAGCTATATATATATATATATATATATATATATAGTATAAATTTTGCAGGATGCAGCGGCCTTAATGCGTTATTATTGTTGATGTCACCTTTTTCATATTAAAAACCCAAAAGGAAATGGCGACCTGGTGTGAGTTAAGGGTGAGATTTACATTTAAGGCCCAAAAAAGCAAAAATAAACAAAAAGAGTGAGATTTACATTTACCCTCATCATCCAATCAACCCCTTTTCCCCTTTTGAAAGGTCAAAAAGCTCAGGCACAATCATTGGAACAAAAGTAAAATAAATTTTCTGAGTTAAATTTTTATATCATTGGTACATTTAAAAATAATAGTATCCGATGAGCAAATAACATTATATATTATCTGATGTTTAGTTTTGATAGATATAAAAGCTTATATTGGAAAAGTTACTCTACTTTATTTTTCCTTTTTTTGGGATGAAAATCCCAATTTTTGGATGGAATACTCTGCTTTTAATTTACAAAATTCATAAAATAATGTTACTGGGATTTTTTATATTTAAATTAACAGTTACTTTTTTAATGTCAAAGTAATTCAAATGCCTTGCAGAGAAATGTTCCCTCCTCTGAATATTCTATTGATAATATTTTTATTTCAATTTTATTCATTTCAATTGAAAATGTATGTTGCTTTTATAAATTTTTAAATTTTTTAGGAGGTAACAAAGTGACATCCAAATCAACTTTTTTTTGAAAAAAAAAAAATAGAAGTGTCATCATGTCCGTGAATCTCATGCCTTCATGTGACTCTTTCACGTATAACTGTTATAAGCCAAAAATTTGAAAAACGAATGTCTAACCAAAAAAATTGGAAAATGAATGGCACTGGGTTGTTTGGCCTGAATTAAATTACATAATTTTTCATAGAAAAATATTTCGGTAAGATGAGTCTTGAAAGCTCATTGAGATGAAAGCATGCATTTATATATTGCTTGTTAAAAGAAATCTATATCGAAAGCATGATTTAAACCCACACTCTTGTGGAGTATGACTTACAATCATTCACTCACTCATTCATAATCAGGGAGACGAAGGGGGAAAAAAAAACTTGATACTCTAGTCGGTGAAAAAAAGTCTCTCGCAATCAAACATCGTTAAATACTGTTGATGTTGATGATAGTGATAAAGAGGGAAATGGTAATTATTACAGCCTAAAACTCAAGGCGTGACCACTGACTAGCGGCATTTATACTACTGTAACGTTCTTTTTTTTTTAATT